TATTTTGCGCAAGTTTTTACAGCAAAATATGCGTTTTCGGAAGATATAGATGAATCCTTTGATTATAGTAAGATATAATATGGTATATAATAAAATGTGTATATAAATATTGACTTACGCATGGATGAAAATATCTTGGATATGTGGCACAGTTTGCACTGGATACAATGCATATTTCAGATGTATGAGTCAACCGTACTCCTTTACTGACTTTGAATACAAAAGATGCAAATTCATAGGATACATCGATAGAGAAGTCATCTTTAGGTCTTTCACCTTCAACAAGTTTTTGCACTAAACTGTACAACAAAAACATTTTGGTTATATTATTTGGATAAAATTTATAATAATTAAGGTTAACAATTTTTATGCCATGTACCTGTTCAACAGAGATGATGTTATTCCAAAACCTGATGCAATGTGTGGATATTTAAACTTCTTATTATGCTCCTTAAAATGATGTATTATAGTTGGCTCACGATCATAGAGTGCATGACCAATCCATATGTTCTTTAATAAAATTTGCATGATATAATTGAGTACAATAGTAGGGACTTTCTGTTAAGCTTATTATAATGTAATAACATACTTTGTTCTCCTTGTGTTTGGAAAGAGTGTTCAACAGTTTGCTTAATCTAATTGCAGTATTTTCCAAGCAAAAAAAAAACCATTTTGAAGTTGGATATGTATCTAATAAATAATCCAATAATGGTGTAATTGTCCATGACCCAGTAATGTTTAACTCGTGAGATAAAAGAATTTCTGGAGGATCCTAATATAAAGGCACAATTGTAAGTTGAAAAATCATATTCAATCTATTGAATGTGGTAGAATCCAACTACTATATTCAAGTAATATAGATATAAAATATGTGTCACACATACTTTATCGAGAATGTCAGATTGTTCCAAGATACCTTTCTTTAAAACATCAGCATGTGCTGCATGGTAGCCTTCCTTTTGGCTTAATATTACAATTACTACATCGCTAGGATCTACATAAAAACCATGTTACGTATACTCTATTTACACTAATTATCGCGTGTAATTAATAGAACTTACTCAAAGTATCCGTACTGGCTCTATCGAAACATAACACGAAGAGTATCGTGTACACGGTATGTATAAAAGACATTGTTCTTAAAGACTAATATAGATTAGTTAACACAGTTCCGAAATTTTCAATGAAAACTTAAAAAATTGATAGAATACGCTAAACTCAATACCACATTATTTCGATTATAATTTTAACATGACGAGGATTAAAGAAAAATAAATTTGGGTACACATGTAGGTTTCTCTCGATGGTTTAAATTGTTTTCGTTGGAATGAACAGGAACGAACAGCTATCTAGCGGTGAATAGACCCAACTAATTTTTAAACCTGCAGGCTTGCTTGCATTGTCTCACAGTCGAGTTCCCTTCTAGGTCGCTGGTGTATGGGGCGCCATCTTTGGCGTGAAAGAGTGTTTAACGCGAAGTGTTTTCGAATCGTAGCAAGAGGAGTTTTTTGAGCGTTGCGAATAATAATAATTGTAATAATAATTGTAATTGTAATTGTAATAATAATAATAAATTCTACGAAAAAGTAATTGTACCCCCTTTAAAAGGGAGTAGACTCCGTCGCTGAAAAGATCGACGCGACATAAAAACCGAGCGGCCACTAGAAGAAGTAAATTAAGTAAAACATTTAGCCAGTAGGGGAGCTGAATGCAATTTCTGCTGTTCAAAATATGATGTTGGTAAGGTAAGGTAGGCTTTATAAGTACGCGAGACATCTGAATGTGGACAACGACAATGTATCGTTGGTGCGAGCAGCCGTCCGAGACACACTCACACATGCAACGCTCGGTGGCATGTCCGTGTACCTACGAGTACCTGCAAGGGCTTGCGTATTGCGATGTTGCCGTTCTCACAACAGCGTCTTTCTACACTGTTGCCATTTCACTGAAGTCGAAATCGCACTTACCATCCCGTATCCTTACATTTGCCAACGTCGACTCTCAGTCTCTCTTCCTTCTTCATCGAACTGTTTCTTTCTACTTTCGTCGTCGCTTCGAAACTCTAGCTTTGCGTTGGACGCTTATTTATAAAGCCTACCTTACCGATGGCATGTGTTTCTGACTGAGTGTCTCTATGTGCGGAAACAGTTACGAGCGCTTGTAGCGACAAATGCCGAAACTATATTTTACGTGTAACATTATAATGCTGGACAGGATGCAAGGGCTTGCGCATTGTCCTATTTTTGTCTCGACAATGCAAATTTGAGACCTCTCAATAGTCGTTTCCGCTAGATAAATGTTCAAGCTAGAGCGCAAGCTCCCATAGGGACTCTACTTTTGCTTTTTTCTGTCATAATTAACAATATTCAGCAGCGTATGTTAGCTTAGACAACGTGGCAGCACTGTCGCACCACCATATTGCTTCTTTTGATCGCGAAGTACTGCTGAATATTATTAATTGTGACAGAAAAAAGCAAAAGTAGACTACCTATAGGAGCTTGCGCTCTAGTTTGAACATTTATCTAGCGGAAACGACTATTGAGAGGTCTCGAATCTGCATTGTCGAGACACAAATAGGACAATGCGGAACCCTTGCAGTTTCGTGTACGTATACAGCGGTGTGGAGCTGTGTGAGTGTGTACGAGCACATACAAGGCACGGGAGTCCACTCCCTTAATCTTCTCTACATACTTCGAAATAACGAATTTGATCTATTTATTAATTTGGTATCCCAATGAAAGAATTTAATCAGAAGGATTTTCAACGATTCTCCAATTTTCTCCATGTTTTATATATCGTATGTTTGTTAACGTTTCTATAGACGTAATTCGAGGTTTAAATCTCTTGGAACATAACATCTTTTCTTTTTCAGCTTTCCGTTTACGACGATACTCTCTCAGGCTTATCAATTCAGATTCGTCGTCTTCAGACTCGGGAAATATATACACGCTGTACTTTCGAGTCCATTTTTTTGACTGTTTATCTTTGGTTCCACGCGTAACCTCCATATCGGGAGGTATTTTGAGCCCTGGCCATAACTTCCCAAGCGGTTCTGCTGCGGAATCTACGCGTAAACAAAATGAATTCGTTAGTTTCTAACGAGGAAAAGGGGGCAGGGGGAGTTCTAGACGACGTTGGCGTATTACGAGAACAGTTCCGAGAAGGGAAAGGGATAACAAAAAGACGTCGATTTGTAAAAATATTATTCGATATTGAATCTCGTTAAAATATTTTAACGAGAATGTAATGCTAGATTACTTACCCGCGTCATTTTGCTCGTTCTTGTTTCTCAAAATGTTAGGTTGGGGAACATGCGTACTCCTTTCTGTAGGATGATCCCTTGTATAATCATCCCAGAGGATATTGTTCGACGCTGTGGGTGATTTTAAATCCATTAACCACTTCATACATTTTGATTTCGGGTTCACTGATTTTCTCGGTTGTCTACCTGGGTATTTTCTCGTCTCGTCTTCTACCCCTAATATTTTTATTATCGTGATCAATCGTTCATCGCAATTGCGTTACCGATACCGTTAATATTCAAGGATAGGTTAACAATTACTCAATACAAACTCTTCCTCCTCGTCGTCTGTATCGTTGATCTGCAAAGGCAGGTGTGATATCGTTTGAAGGGGTTCGTAATTCACCTCGACATCAATCTTTTCCAACTCTATATTTTCCCTATGACGAGGTTCGAGAAACGACGTGTTCAAGGGATCATCCGCAACGTGATGCGCTTCTCGAACGGATTCTGGCTCTTGCAGCTCCTTGAATAAGACAGCATCCGAGCTGTAACTCGAGTGTTCCGATTCCGTGACCCACTCGTCATCATAGATCGTTGGTAAAGTAGCCTTTTTACTTTTCGACCTGCAAGGTGGGAAGTATTTGAATGAAAACATAAAAAAATTCAAGAATATTAAACATGTAAAATCAGTACCTTTTGTTTTCCTTATAGCTTCCCAGGATCACTTTTGCTCTTTTCCGTCGTTTCTTGGCCCTTTTCTGAAGACTAATCTCACTTGCCAACGTTTTTCTCTTTCTAACCCCATTCGACGACGAATTCCTAACAAGTCTTGGCTTAGTTTCTTCCACTGGGGTGCTGTACAAATTAAACTCCTCTCTGCCCATTGCGCGCCTTCTCGAGGTCATATTTTGCAGGGTTCGTAATCTTACAGTATAGCAGGTACTTTGTAACAAATTTACTTGATTTTGCTCCACAAATTACGTTTACGCGTATTCGAGTCTCACTGGATACCGTCGAACGAAAGCATAGTCATCGAACGTCTTTGAAATTTGTCTGGTAAATATACCACGTAAAGAATGTTTTTATAGTTGAGGACGACGTAGGGCAATACGTCGAAACAGGATTTCTTATACGTACGTATGTACATTCAAGTTCCATACTCAGGGACAAATAACGTAAAGTGATCAAAGTCGACACAGTTCAATTATTTAATCATACGTTAGAAAAAATATTACAGTCACAGAAAATAGGCGACGAATTCCCCGTAATCCTTTCAGATATTTCACCTACGCCATTTTTATAATCATAAGCACAATTGAATCGCGAAAAGATGACAGTATCCAACATTTTCCGTGCAGGAAGTTATCTCGATGATATCTCGAAAATGAAAGCGTTATTTCTTTCTTCGTTCATAGAACGAACAAAGAAACGTACGATCACTCTTGATCGTACATTTACTGAAAATACAGAGCATAATGTTAAAACAGTATTTGTATCCGAATATCGAGTGTATCTGATCATTGAAAGGAGCGCCATTGTGGTTGCCATGGTGACACGGCGCTGGTCCCCAAAGGTGCCCCTACCTATAAATACCAAAGTTTCGCGGCGCACCGTCAGTGTATGGTCGCTGGCTCACCGCGGCGGCTGGTTCTCGTCTCGTCTCGTCTCGTTGCTCCATTGTCGTTTCATTTGACAACTTTTCGAGTCGTTTATTTTATCACCTCGGTTCGTATCTATCGCAAAAATCACCGGAAATCGCAGTGTCGTTCGTGTCAGCGAAAATTAGTTTTCGCGAAGTCGTACAGGTTAACCATAAAAAAAAAAAAAAAATCGACGGGACAGTTTTGGAAAAAATGCCAGCGGACGCGGAACTGAGTAATCTGCTTAGCAGGCGGCAACGAATCAACGAGGAGCTCGAAGAAGGGAAAGAAGTGAAAAAACAGTACAAATTCGTGAACGTTTACACGGAGTTCCACGAGTTATCCCGCCGCGAGATCAAGCAGTACGAGCAAACCTTCAACAGGTGAGGGACCCAAATCTTTCGTTTCTTTCTCCCGACTTTTTCTTCTTTACTCGCTATTCTACCTGGAAAAATGTTGTCCTTCGTTGTCGTTGAGAATAAACGATCCTCGCAAAGGATCCGTGACCTATTTTACTCCGTCTTTGAGGCCACGGATTTTTAGAAGCCTTTGTTGCGTACAAATATTCGGCTATTCGACCTGTCGTTTCGGGAAACGATTAGACTGTAGGTTAGTCTTAGGTCTAGGTTAGACGGCGGTTGGCTATATTTTGTTGACGTTTGAATGCGTTTGAAAGAACGTGTTCGATATCTATTTATTTATGGAGCGATGTAGGAAAAGAAATATCGTATTTGAAAGGGTTGGTATATTTCTGAAAATATTAAATTACTAGACACACGATGGATCGAGTTAGCAATAACATGTAGGTCAATATCGAGGTTACGCGATAGGAATAAACGACTAAATCGATCGCGATCTCTAGAATTGACTGAAAACGAGCTTGTTTTCATTTTTATCAACGCTTCATTGTCTTCTTCTTTGAGTCATCTAGAAACTAGATTGTCATCGGATCGTAATTTTCGAAGTTACGATCTGATCCCAACAAAATTCACGTGAAAAATATCGAAATTCATCGTGCAAGACGCTGGGTAAAGCCGACATTTGTTATCAAGAAATTATTCAAAACCGTCTCCTCTACAGCGTATATCAAGGTCGTCGAAATCTGTGAGATAGTCACGACCGTAGATAATTACCAAAGTTCGAAACGAATCGTGAGGCGAAGGTCAAGAAAATGGAAAGTGCATCGCGACTCGCGATCTCTCGACCTTCTGTTTACGTTTACGCTCGAGTTTATTTACATCCCTCCAAGCAAGACTCGTGCTTCCTCTAACGAGGCAGTTTTTCTGCGTACGAGAATAATACACGAAACACGATCAGATAAGATACGTTTCAATTAGAAATATTTATGGGTCATTTTAGTGTCCCACGAATTTTGATCACCCGAATGTCTTCGTTATTTCAAACTTGTACGGTTGAATAGGTCTGTTTCAACAACCCGTGCGAAAGTAGCATTTCGTTTGGTCCAACAAGGTAGAACTCGAGATTTCGTAGTTATTTCGCGGCGCGGCTTTTGACGATGGCCAAGTGCTCGTCCGTGTTCACCCTACTTCTGCCTTGTCAAACCTGCTGCCCGGATGACTCCGAAATACCTACAAGAAGAACAAGAGAGACGGAGGACAGACTCCTCGAGGTCGTCTGCCCTGGGCTGTGCAACGCGAACACGGCCTCCGACTCGCGTCTTATTCCACCGTGCCGCGAAATAACTACGTCACGAATTCTGCGATCCGCGGTTTCTTAACGATCCGCGCGGGACTTTCCCGTTTTCCTACCTTCTATTTACTCGGGAAAAAAGTCACCCTTTCCGCTCGGATATCACCTTGGGATCACGTTCGATTCTGTTGCGAGATTTTCAGTCCAACAATGAATCTGGCTTTTAATTCCGAAACAGCGAAGGAAACTCGTTTTCCTCGGTCGCGGGTCGGTTTCCTTTTACGCTTGTCGTGATACACGGGGATCGTGTTTCTGGATAACTCACTTAGAAGCGTAGGAATAAAAGAAATACAGCTGCTCGAAAAACTTGAACGTCACTCGCGCTTGCTATCGGTATCGAGTAGATTTTTTTAGAAAACGACAAGTCGGAAAGTAAACGTAACGAGTCTTAATTACACAACGATCGCGTTCATACATAATCGAGTGGCAACATTGATTTTAGTTTGCTGTTAGATAGCAACGGTTGCATATTACGATACGTAAGCGTATCCTTTCGCACCTGCTTTCTAATTCCAAAGTATAATCCTGCTCGAGACGCTGATAACGAGTAACAGACGTCGCGTAATTATTTATGCGATCGAGGATGAGATAGTCGATAAATCTGGTAGCGCGAAAGTTTCACCGTCAACCACGTGTGCACGAGTATCGTGCACGATAGATGATACCTCGGCCAAAAAGATAACTGCGACGAGTAACCGTCCAAGGAGTTGTCCTTGTCGTCAGAGAAACTAGCTACCCACTTTTCCTGGCTTTTTAACGTTTCACGGACTGGATATGGCACGGGTTACGGATATTTACATTTACTACGCGAGTATCGCGAGAGAGTTAACCTTTTCAAGGACGAATCATTTTTATCGAAATTATAATTGTAGCATTTCTCTTTTACAGCAGGAGAATACGACTGGCCAGAGACCGCACGAGCGATACGATTTTGGAAAAGTTCCGATCAACGACAATGTTTTGATGAACGATTATTGTTCCCCGAGCAACCATAAATACGTATCGCATTTATACCGCCGTCTGATATATAGGTTCGCTGACATTTGATAGTAGCCATATAGTTTGTCACTCGGTCGTGGATGCGTCTACGTAGGCTGCGGTTATCAACCGGCCACTTCCCGTTTTAGAGTCCTCCTTACCTCGATGCACTTTCCCAAATTTTTAAGTTATACTAATAAGACAACGAGAGCGGCTCGATAGGGTCGATTTCCAAGAAGATGGCCTCTACCACCTCAGACGAGCGTCGCGCCATCGTTTAAAAAAATAAATATAGAAAGTAGCTTACATTGTTAATTCCGAACCGTAGAAAGTACCAACGCGATAAAGTTCGCTCAGAGGAGCCATTAGAACGCCAAATGGTCTTTTTATCTCTGAATCGGAAACGCTTTATTAGGGCGATCGTTAATTAGATTCCGATGGCGATAGCAGTTCGTTAGCAGCAAATTCGACTCGAGAAGATGAATTTAGAAATCGTGAAATTTAGAGTAATTGACGACCGTCTGCCCCGTAGAGAAACAGTATCGCGAAGGAACGGAATACGTTTTGGTTTTTCAGCGCGTAAAAGGCAGCCAGTTTTAACTTCTTTCCTAGCATTATCTTTTCCTCCTTTCACGGTAGTTCGGTGGGGAAAATCGTGACCTATTCCAGCACGGTTAAACGTGTCGCAATAAATTCTTCCCACGTATGAAATATTATCCATTCTGCGGTCGGTCTGTATTAGCGCCACGAAACAATATGGAAGAGTAATACAACAATATGTAACAATGGATTGCTTCCGCCTTTGGCTCGTTACAGTCAGCTGTGTCGCTGCTGGCAAATAGCGATGCCGCTAATACGTCATTATTTGTCGCTCGTAATAGTCTGATGATTAATTCAGAGACTGTTAGTGTTAGGAAACCTCGAATACTCGAAACCCTGTACAGAAGGAGCGTTAGACACTTGTAGCTCGTGGTGTAACGTGTTAGAGACAAAGAAGAGCGTCACTATTGTGTCGATACTCGATAACCGTTGCTATTTTATAATCTTAAAGCGATAGTGAGATAATGTACTTTCGACGATAGGTGATTACAATTTAGTTATCATATCGGATACGCTCAAGTCTCGGTTTGTCTTGTTCTTTGTTCTTTACATCCACCGAAGCAACGCTTTCAACGAAACATGTTTAGTAAAATGTAGACGACAGGAACGCATGCTCGTGTTGCGTTAGGAGTTTTCCATGGGGTGCACGTAGCGAGTTTCCAAATTTCATATGCTACGGTGTACGCAGGAGCGCTGTACGATACCGGAAGTCATCAGACAACGCGCTGTGTGAATTCGTTTCGTGACTAACTGCTTGGCATGCACGTAACACTGTGATTCACACGCGTGTATTTCGCTGCTGTGATTCATGGTGTGATTTATCGTGTTCGTGATTGATTCTCTCGATAAACTTTTAAATGAAACGCGTCATTGAATCGTGCGCGATTGCTCTCGATTCTGCGATAGAAATGAAACTCTGGACATATCGTCAAGCCCCCTTCCACGAAACAACTACAATTAGTAACGATTTGAAAAAGAAGTAGTAAACGATGTTTAACTGTAAATTAGGCGTCCATTGTCGTCGTTACACGTTTCGATTGCGACTAGTAGCTGCGATTAGTTTCAGTTGAACGGCCGTGGCATGTAAAGCGGAAGCGATTTAGCCGAACAGGAAGAAATCAACGCGAGGGGATGACAAAAGAAGAACGCGATGACAAAAGTGCAATACGTGCATGACTGGTGAATAGAGAAAAAAAGTCGACGACACGGTTTCATTGTACGCGACCCTTAATACGCCAGGTACGCTCGCGTATCGAAGACGTGCTCGAATTTCGCTGATTCGCGAGACACCTCCAAGTCCCATTGAGCCATGGAGTAACCGTGGAGGTACGAAATACCAATAGAATGTACTCTGCGTACGTTATGTACGTTCGTGTCGTTTAAAATAGGGAAGAAATTAATTATCAGAGTAATCCGACGTTTCGTCGGGCAAGGATCGATCGATATAAAATATCCGCGCAACGTCTGGGACTCGTGTTATGGAATAAATCCCAATGGCGTTTACGTATTCGGGACGCGTGCTCTTCGCGAATGGTTTTGAACTAACGGTCTGCTTGTCGTTATGCGACGAGTCGCGTCGGGGGCCGCATTCTGAGCAAACCTATTTCTTTTAAGAACGTCGAATTGTATAATGCGGAGTGCAGGCCAATTACGCGGTGCGCGAGGAAGAAAGTGAAACGCTTAAAGAAACGAGACAATTAAGCTAGCTGCGCATCGAGCAGAGAATAGACGATCGAGTACAAACGCAGTATGGGCATAGGTTTTCATTGATGCTTGCGATACACCGCGATGCATAGAGATACGTTATGAAAAAATATCCAGAAGCCTCGAGGGCTGGATACGAAATAGCAGCGATCGAGGGTTGAAGGTTCCGCAACGTGCCAAAAGCAGCGGGGAAAAGCGCGTTACAGTGGAGCCGCGGAGGTGATGACGTCTTTCCAAATACAAAAGGAGAATCTCCACCGCATCGATCTACGAAAGAATGGTGGAAGGGCGAGAGGGAACGTATCAGCCAAGTACCAGTGGTCACCTTGACCCAGTTCCCTCTAGTCTTGGAGAACGTTGGCGAATGAATCGCGCCGCCAGCCCCATGATCCAAGAATTGATTGTGCGATAACAATACCTGGACTAGCCTGTATATCGTCACGGAACAACCTGGCCTGGTTAGAATCGATTCGCGTCACGTCATAGGTCCTCGTCGCAATAGTAATTACCGGCTTGTGGGGCATAATCGATGTAGGCCAGAGATTAGCCAAGTTCTTATTCGGATAAACAAATGAAATATAGCGAAAATAATACGCGAAGACCGTTAGTTACTCGAGGATCGATGCACGATGACATCGAGAATATAGCGCGACGATGAAATTTCGTGGGTCGATGTTTATTGCTTTCGTTTCGTCATCGTCGAATCAAACGAACGGTATCAGAAGCAACGATATAAAATATCGAAAGGTCAAGTGTACGCTAAAGGTCAAACGCATCGATGAAACTCGTTTCGCGTCCCGAGGAACCTCGTAATCCCGAATCGAAGATATCTACGAGTACGAACTTCGCGGGATTACGAGTCCTTTCTACGGAGTAAACATTTCTTTCTGGGTCCTTGATACTCGAGGCACGTAAATTGACGTCGTCGAACATTTTTCAACGAAAATATTCGCTTCTACCCAGGGAATCGCGACTCGCTCGTAGCTTCATCCCGTGATAACACTTTGCAGCTTCTGATTGAAGACTTAGAAGGAAATTGTGATATAATGGTGCCGTTTAGTTACGCAATGGCACTTATATTATAGAGTATCACTTTGAAAAATTGAAATTGACAGTTGTCGAAGAGGGGGTGTAGGAACCCTTAGAATATGACTCTCTTCTCTCCATAGCTTCTAATTAAACCCTTTATAATTTATATCGAGTGAAACTTCGTATTATTCTGTTTTAATGTAACTTTTGGGGAGCTGTTTATACTTTAATAACGATACTCGTCTTTCATTTGCGAAGAACGATAGTTCACTCGAGACTTCGACGAGTTTAGGTCCTCCTCTGGTGCACACCAACGGAAACAGTAACCCTCGTACTCGTATTTCTTTCGCTGATAACTGAACCGCTGCCGCAATAAAACCTGCTCGTCGATTGATTGTTCGAATGAACCGTGAAATCGCAAACGTCTCCGATCGCGTACGCGGGGTGATATAGGTAGGGTATCAGAGAAATGCGCGTCTACTCCCTCTCTTATCGATCAGCACCGCTCGTCTATGCATATAAACCCGCAACCTCGACCTTCGTACGATTCTTGCTCTTTACCCTGAACGAAATGAATTTATCGTCGTGACGATCGCGGTTAATGTAATTTGTTGCAAGTCCAATCGGTCGTTTTATCTGTCGCCGATAGTTGCACTGAGTCAGTGCACGTACTTCCGGCCATTGGTGAGGACCTTTGTAAATTCTGTAGAACTCGACGCTATTTCCTCATCGCTAGATACTTTGGTATAAATGTAAAGAAGTAGAAGAACTAGACGCGGTACGTTCGTTTGAGTATTTACGTTATATCGCGTCATTTCTCTACCTTGACCTCAGAACCAGCGAGACGAGTAAATAATTAACTCTTCGAGTTTTGTGTTTGTTATTACAGATTGTCAGCTGTAATATTAATAATTATTACGTTATTGCACGTCTGTTAAAAATTGGGGATTCATGATGACTTACAGTTTCTAATTGCATGCAATTATCATTTAATTACCGCGACACAGGAAAAACAGTTGTTAACGATAATCCGTCGCAATACTACGCGTAGATTCATCGTTTGCGACAGTGATATTCTTCCCGACAAACTTGAACTATTCTTTTCTGTCGAAGATAGGAGAAGGGTTAAACAATTTCCGTCGAACGTTATCCGATAAAATCGTTGACACAGCAAACATCGGAGCACTCCCGATCTAAGAATCGCTACACTTGAGTAGTTTTGGCTTTATATTGCAAATCGTTATCGTCTCCGACGAAACGAATTGGATATTTCTCGTTTCGACCTGCCATGCGTGGAGAATTCAGCTGTGAGCGATTGGTTCTGTACGTTGCGTAAATTCTATGCTGCGATGAAAACGTGAAAAATAGGAAAAGAGGTGGATGAAACATTGGACAACTCTGGAGGAAGACGAGATAACAGTGAATTAGTTTCTATCGGAAAGATGAGCTTTAAACCTAATATTTATCGAATAGTTTCGTTTCGATTCTCGCCAATTTACTTACCATTCATTTTTTCACTTTGTGTGCAAGTTGCGCAGACCACCCTGTATATCGGAACAATACGCCTGGGTGAACCATGCGTTCGCATATTTTACGAGCATCCCATGATGAATGCAGACGAAAGCGTTCGCCTGCATTTTAATCGCGCAACTCGTTACTTTTAATTAGCGTGTAATGAAATTTATATCGAAAGGGGAGGGGAAACGTGAGAACGATCGTCGATACAACCGATTTCGAAAGTCGCGGAGAATGTCATCGGCGCGTTGCGGTTGTGTCTGCAAGCCGGAAGCTCGTGAAATCGACTTTCCGTGTAAACGATTCCGATAGCCACCTCATTGATTGCTTTCCAGGGTGTTACCACCGCGTTCCTGTCGATTCAGCGAAGCACATGACGCGATAAGATCGATTCTCGACATTACCTTCGATTTCCATTCATATAAAGTAACGCGATACTTTATCGAGAGGAAACGTAATAGCAGAGGAACGAACAAACGCTAAAAAACAAACTAAGGATCACCTACAACCGATAAGATGTTCGCGTCGAGTATGTTTTATTTAATCGATACGTCGATTGGTTGCAGGTTCGACGACGGTCACGATGGGTACCTCGACCTCTCCGAATTGAAACGCATGATGGAGGTTTTAGGTGCACCGCAGACTCACCTGGGTTTGAAGGCAATGATACAGGAAGTGGACGAGGATGGCGACGGACGCATTTCCTTCCGCGAGGTTAGCGATTTCGCGTGTCGATCGACGTTCATTTTTTAATAAATCGAAAGAATCCACGCGATGCGTAATAAGAAAACAGGAAATTGTTTCGTTCGCGTAACGATTTCATTTTACCGGAAATCGATGCGCAAATGACGAATACTTTCGTGGGCTCGTTATTAGTTTCACTGGATGAGCAGACCCCGACTGTGTAGCTTGTCCCGTTTCATTTCACTTTCTAGTACACGCTTCTATATTAAGAAATAACATGTAACGGAATACAAAGTACAACGAAAATTTCGTACATACGAATGCAATATGATACAAGGAACGTAGGAACGGTAAAATTAAGCGTCAAGTATACACGCTGGTCGACTTTTCGATGAGACGTAAATGCCTTACCGAAACACGTTTTATTTTTGCCTGTTGCGACGTTTAACGCGTGAACGCGCGTGCCATGTATCCCTCGTAAAAATAGTTTGCCCCCCGGGGGGTTTAACGTGAAACTTGCGCGTAAGCTGGCTGATGATGGCCAGTGTTTATTCTGTCTGTATGCACACTTGTGGGGGTCAATGGTGTTCTATTTTAGTAGAGTACGCTATAAACGCGCTTCGAGTAGGTTTCGAATATGTTCTTGAGGCGAGTATCAATCACAAATTCTTACAGAAAGCCAACATTTTTTTATTCTGTATTCTGTAACGAAGTTCCTTGTGGAAAACTCTGTATTATTTAAGATCGTGTAGCAATTGTAGCCGCAGTAGTTAGTAGAAAATATCCATGTCCATTGACGCCATAGGCGATAGGTCCACTTTTGAGAAAAGATAAATCGCAGATGCGAAGCCACGTGTGCGCGGCAAAGGAAAGTCCTCGGACTTGATGCAAACGAATGGCCCCGCATTCTCCTACGTGACTTTTCGTGGTTCATGAACAAAGCGTTCGATCTGCATGCACGCGATCGGGTCTCCTGATCGCGAATCGCCATGATTCATCGCGTCGCTGAACTCGGTGTAGCGACCAGTACTCACCTTCCCCTTAGTCATCGTGTTATCGATTTAGAATGCTAATCGAATTAGGGAAACGAACGCCAGCCGCGTGATTTTTCAGGAAATTTTATCGGGTCATTATCATCTTTTCCTTTAACTTGGACGGTCTTTGTTGCAGTTTCTACTGATCTACCGCAAGGCGCGTGCTGGCGAGTTAGAACAGGACTCTGGGTTGAGCCAGCTAGCTCGGCTAACAGAAGTAGACGTAGACGAGGTGGGAGTTACGGGCGCCAAAAACTTCTTCGAAGCTAAGGTAAACGTTTGTCCGGGAAAGAATTACTTATTAATATTTTTTTTTATTCTCCTTGAGTCCACGACTAACTGCTATCCGCACCAGCGCGGAAGGTGATAATGAAATTGCGAACGTGCGAAACTATGAACGACTTTATTCCAGTAGCCGTGCGTAGAGCGGATTAACGATTCGCGAAAGCGTATCCGTCCCAATTAATGCTTCCTGTGCATTAATTACTGTTTTTCTTTTTTTCGTTCGCAGATAGAGGAGCTACGTAAAACGAGCAAATTCGAAGACGAAATCCGCATGGAGCAGGAGGAACGGAAGCGAGAGGAGGAGGAAAAAGCGGCGAGGCGAGCGCAATTTAGGCAGAAAGCTGCATTGTTTGGCAACTGAAAGGAAAAATCGCGAATCGAAAGTGCCGAGCGTCTTGTGCGCCTTAATGGAATTACGAAAGATTGCCTTGATTCGATTCACTGATTTCACGAGGGATTATTTGTCAATCTGAATGTCGCGTAGATCAACTAGCGTTGAATAGTTGATTCGAAGTATTCTTTAGAGAAATTTATCCACAGCCTACATAGAATAGCCTATTTTATATGTTAAAAAGTCGAACTCCACGTTTTTAAATGTTTAAACGACTGTACTTTTACAGAGCATGCGGCATATATTTTTAATTGTTAAAGGAATAACCGACGTTGGAGATAGGTACTTTACGGAATCGTTTTCTTTTTTTATACTTTCATAAGTATTGTTCGATACTAGATTTGGGATACTTGTAACAAACGATAAATGAGTTTTAACAAACACACGACTGATATTCGTATAAGTACAATTAAACGTAATTTGTATATGTATGTATATTATTTTATACGATAATTTCAATTTAGAATGTACAGATTGTCGCCACCCCTTTAGAAACAAACATTTCGCAACATAGTTTCGATCCAGAAATTTTGATGGGTATTTTCTTATCTACGTCGGAGTATCGTGTATCTTTTCAAACATTTAGTATTATTGCGATACGACATCGAAAGAAAGTGGAAAAAAGAAGTATTCGCTTAAAGTAGATACAACAGCTTTCTATTAAATTATAAAGCAATTTTAAATTATTTTTATAAACATTTTTATAGATGTGCTTTATGCTGAAGTTACGAAGACCTACGCGTCGTTGTTGCGAATTGTATATACGTAATATAAAGAGTCATAGATGTATCTTCTAGATACGCTTGTAAAATTATAGATTGTAAATAAATTTTCTGTACTGGAAGTTGATGTTATAAGAAGAAGATTACACCTTCAGAAGATTCTTTCCTTATCAAATAATTTTGAAGATAGCGTCGATAGCTATGTTTTCTTTTATCGTTTTTGCAAACTCAGTACTATTCAATGTCTATAAAAGATAACAGTCGACAGGCGCCTTTTAGAAGTAGTGAACCGCCTCAAATATTTCGATATATTATTTAATTCCAAACTTAATCAACCTACGTATATTTCTATTGTATTAATAATTACTATCTTCTTCGAAGTGGCGGTCGTAACAAATGCATTTAAACGAAAAAAGAATATCTAACACTAACCACAAAACATAACCTTACTTTGATCATTTTTCAACATAATTTCTTATTTACACCTGTTATCTGTGTTTGATTCTTATTAAGATAAGAACTCTTTTTATAGCGTACTCGTTGTATTTTGATAGCAGAATCAACGAAGAAATAGCGGAATAAGGAGCTTTTTACAAAATGGCATCGAATCAGGTATATATAAATTTAATACATCCTACTACTTTTCGTGTGAATATTCCATTGGTTTTAATATTCTAATAACCATTTTTATTTTACTACGTTTAATATTTCATTAATATATGAACGCTGTTGTAGGTTGAAAAAATTGTTAATTTATATAAAACATTAGCTCGGAATCCGTCATTAAGCGGTGCAAAGATTCTTCGAGCGACTAGTAGTGGAGTACTAATTTTAAGTACTTGGTCCCAAAGAAATTTAGAGAGGAAAATAAATGAAAAATTTTGTCGAAATCACATTTTGGATTCTGAATTGCAACTTCTATCTGAAAATTTTCCAATTGATGTTACAACAGAGTATGTTACATTTCTAACTTATACTTCTAATTTTCTTTTACCTATAAAACATTTTTGTTAATCTATATCTTTTCTATCAGGCTTTTATCTGTATCCACTGAAGATGAGAAACGTAGAGCTGTATTAAAGCAAACTACACTTGAGAACACCTCAAAACAATTTATAGAAATCTGGGATAAGCAGAGGCTTGTAGAGAATTATGATTTGGCTGCTTTGGATGTTCATGGAGATGTATACACAGATTGTAATTGTTTATAAGTTGTAATTTTTTACATTTAATCCAGGCCTCTGATAAAGTTACTAATGCTATGTTATGTTACAGCTGAATTTGCTTCTTTTGAATGGTCTCCAGATAAGACTAAGGTTTTATACATTGCAGAAAAGAAACTTCCAAAATCTGGACCATTTTACAAACAAAAACCTCTTAGTAAAAAAGAAAAAGAAGAAGATGAAGTATCAGTCGTAAGATATATATATATATATATACATATATTGTATATTAATACATTGTTTACCACTATATAAATGCAGTGGAAGCATTTTAAACTTTACTGGAATAAATACTTGCAACAGGGTAATGAGTATATTTACAAACCTCATTGGGGAGAACAATTAGTGGGTAAACATCGATCTGTTATCGGAGTCCTCGATACAATAACAGACACAATATCAATTTTATCGGGTATACCGGACGAACTTTCACCCGCTCAAGTATTGTGGACAAAAAATCAAGGAGTAGTCGGGGTAGCGTGGAAACACGAACCGAGACATTTAGGTCTTATTGCCTGTACTAACAGACTGTCTTGGATATTTCTACTGAAAGATGGGGAATACAGTAAGAAATATTCGATGTCTATGTATCTTATTATTCTATCACAGCTTGTAATAGTTACAATTATTTCCTAGAAAAACTCTCGAGCGATGGATGCGCCGTCCGTTGCCCCAGAATTAGTCCCGATGGAAAACATTTAATTTGGCTAGAAAGAGAAGCTGGTGGACCACATCACAACGCTCACAGATTGATGCATTTGAAGTTAGATTCTGAGAAACTAGAGGTAGTCACATATTAATGTATCGATACCGTGTTCATTTCATGTGAACTTAAATTATTTTGTTCAATCTAGGCTGACGTGCTTGTAGATGTAGTGCACACATCTATATCGATTAAAAATTCAAAACAATTCTACGGTTTGTACGGCCGTTTACCACGACGATGTTGGAGCAGCGATTCCCAATACATATTCTTGAGTTCACCTCAACAGAATAATATACGTTCTTACATCGTTGATACAAGTAAAAAGATATACGTGCTCTTTACGAAATTTCTCATTTATTGTAATTACGAAATATAAATATGTTTCTTACAGAAACAAAAACTATAACCGAGATTGAGAATGATCAAACTAGCCTCACTATCTTGGATGTGAAAAATGACATCATCGCATTTTCTGAAATGTCTCTTGTAGAGCCTTCCGTTCTTACTGTAGGAAAGTTCAATTTGGAAGTAACTAGCAGCGGTAATATCGTGAGAAGTAAACTTTCAACTTCAGCGTTAATTCCTGGGTCCGAAAATATAATGTACGAGTGTTTGAATCATGATTACGATAATCAAGATGAAATTAGTAAGTCACTTGAGTAATACTAAATAGAGGTTTTCAGTTAAATATATTTAATTTTACGACGTTTCTAGAACACTTTAACTTTATCTATTTTGGACCAAAAAGTGGAGATGACAAATCTGTACCTTTAGTAATTGTACCACACGGAGGACCTCACTCTAATTACGTGAACCAGTTTATACTCGATTATTTCCTCTTTGTATTGTCAGGTAAGGGTTCGATTGATTCAATTTTCAAACTCGATTTTCTTGGTTGTACCACCAAATAATTATCTTTAATTTAAGGCTTAGCCGTGGTGCAAGTTAATTATCGCGGGTCAACGGGAATGGGTTCTAAAAATGTAGAATATCTTCAAGGCAGAGTTGGGGATGCTGATGTAACAGATTGCGTAACCGCTACAAAAGAAGCTTTACGAAAGTATCCATGGTTAAATCCCGAAAAAATAGGATTAACTGGAGGTTCACATGGTGGATTTTTAGTGACTCATCTAAGTGGCCAATATCCGGTAAGCTCGTAAAGTACTCGCAAAATATCGTATAATAATAAACCTATTTTGCAGGACTTGTACAAAGTTGTCGTTGCGAGGAATCCTGTAATTGACATCTCTGCTATGTTTCGAATATCAGATATTCCAGACTGGTAAAAAATTAATGTATTTTTAAAAATTTTATATAGTTCTGAATTATCTCGATTATATTGCAGTCGCAATGCTCTGAGTAAGGAAGAGAAAATTATGTACCATCACGATATGTAAGCGTAATTGTAGAACAAAATATAATAAGAGACGATGCACGTCTAGTACAAGAGTCATAACCTATAAATAGTTACAATATTGTTTGAATATATATCATGGGAAGTATTTAAGTCTCATCATTAATGTCGTTTCAAATCTAATTCCAGGTGTGCCGCTGTTATAAACTGTTCATTCGATGAAACGCCCGCGATAGACTCGTCTGAATTTGAAATGTTCGTGAAAATGTATAAATGTTCTCCGATTCGTCACGTTGGTAAAGTGAAAGCTCCAACCTTATTGTGCATCGGTTCGAATGATTTACGCGTACCTCCGTCTCAAGGGAAGCTGTGGTATCAACGCCTGAAGGCTAATAATGTTAAGACAAAGTAAGTTAAGGGTAATACTTTTGTTAAATATGTTAAAAATGTTCATGTTTCATCAACTATGTTCTAGGATGCTTCTTTACGAAGATAATCATCCTTTAGCATCGGGGCCAGCCGAAATCGATAACGTTATCAATGCTTGTTTATGGTTGTTGGAACACATATCAACCGAAAAAGTTGACAGCATAAGTTTGCAAGAAAATAAATGTGATAAATATAATAATTGTGAATAATAAAAAAACTGTTATCATAACTTTTCAAAAACAAAAATATCGTGAATGAAATTTTTAATAATTTTATTATCACAAATGTAATATTTACATAATGTCGTTATGTATATGTTTATAAAGGTTTGTAACAAATAATTTTCAAAATATACACATTTTTGTAGCACTGTATAATACTATAAAATTTCGATACTTTATACGTGTATAAAAACTCGTTATAAATATCTTACATATGTTTCGGCTATATTACTTCGAGTTTACAAAATACATAGAACAAGTGTTCCATATTTTAATAAATATGTGATTCGTTATACAGGATTATCGTAATAGATTACCAATACTAAAAGATGCTGTAATTAAATTACTTGTATTAAGATGTCACAAGTATTTTTATAAAAAGTAGAAACAATTGCGTATAAATATTATATTCGTTACGGACTACGCTTTTGCAATGTTCAAGGAGAAAACTTACAAACTATAAACAAAGTTTCTTTGTAATGTATTTGTTCGTTGTTGTTAAATAATTGTTTTTTTTCTTACACATCTTGTTCGTATTTGTATAGTGTCATACAACAAAAGAGTATTTTTATTGGAGCGATAAAAAACGGGGAATGCATGTTATCTGTTTCGTATATAGGAAGGCACTCATTCATACCATATATATGAAGACTGCACTTTATACAGCGATATCTAATTAAAACATTAGATAATACACTGCCAATACCTATTAATTACATTTAGTAATTTATGATTATGATCTAACAGGATTACTTTGTTCTGGAAATAATGAATCATAGCTAGGTGGCAAATCTTTATCCGGCATAGACGGGCAAACGGCGACTTCCAACATCGGTGCCGTCGGAACTGGTGGGTTCGCGGATCCTTCGAGTTCGTGTGGTAACTGACCCGGCCTTGACGAACACACATTTGGATCAACACACTCCAAAGACCAGCATAACTTTTGCGATCTTTTACATATCCATAAGCACATAACAAATATAATGAAACACAATATTAATGTAGTCACTGCACCCACTGTTACTTTTGTACCAGTGCCGGTGCTGGTGATTTCAGTGGAAGTATTCGGACAATTATCCTCGTCTGAACAAACACCTGGGGCACAATTATAAATTCGATCGCAAAAGAATTCATTCCGCAAACAGGCGTTCATGCGGATCGATGTATATTCCGCGAAATCCACGTTGCTACAATCTACGAAATTCAAAAAATTTAAATTCCAGAAAACTGTCTAGACTACGCGAACTTACTTTTATATGGAGTATAAACAATTTTGAGAGCAAGGAATTCTCCATCCATTAACTTCTCTTTTGAAATGAATATCTCAGTTTCTAATTCTCCTCCAGATTTAGATTCGCTTGGATCGTATTCAGCAAAATTCCATGCTGTTTGGTGTGTTGCACCAGGCATGTAAAAATTGTGCTCAGGTTCAGGAACCGTATAATACTTTATTTTACTGCGATCCATCATTCCGCAAAACTTTTGCGTCCGATGGTTGTCTTTCCTTTTAAACTATTAAATTGGTCTTTGAATGGTATAAATGTTTACCATGAACACCGAGTAGAATGAAAAATGATTGTTTACCTGTACATAATCTATGCAATCCGTGGAATTTTGTCTAAGAGACATCTCCTGAATTACACCGAACAATCCATCTCCTTTAGCTGCTTTGAAGACAAATTTACAACGAACATCTGTAAGAACAGACCATCGATCGAACATGTGTTTAGGCCAAACAATAGCTGCTGAATTTTTTATCTCGATGGTTGACTTTTTGTTGAGCTTGTGACAAAACCTCTCCGACTCCAAACCATCTAAAAGCAAGAGGTTATAAATTGAATATCCTTCGAAAATAAGAACCAATCGATCCCATCTATGAGGAACACTCACATTCGTCGTAAGGTTTATCGTGAAGCGAGCACGAGCTGTATCTCACGTAATTGTTCGCGAGAAACAGGAGACACAAAAGATACAAAACATCCCGTCGAGCCATTTTTACAGGAACTGTCAGAAAGCCATAAAGAACGCGGCTAACGTCGATTAACGAATGATCGAATCTATGATCAATATCACTGAGATTTCCCGTGATACACAGAGAGGGAAAGAGATAAAGAGGAAGGAGAAGAAGAACGGAAGACGTAGGATATGTTTTTCACGGAACAGTTTGAGGTTCGATTCGCCGTCTTTGAGGATACGTCATCCATGTATCAAAACAAAACGAATGTGTCCCTTGCGTACGAGAGAGATGACCGTAGAAAAAGATACGCGATATCAATGGGATGGGTAGAATTCTTACGTAAATAACAAATCTTAAACAACGAATAAAGGATAAATGATCAATAATAAAAAGTAGGATTTCAGGTAGAGAATGAAGTTACACGTTGAATGAATGGAAATTCGTTCAAGTAACTGTTCAGGAATAAATGGTTCTACGTTGTTTTTGTACGTCGTTTATTATTCCAAGAAAATTTTTCCCACATCTGTCAACGGTTTCCTCTTATACATCTAACGAAAATAAACGTGTCGCGATAAAAGTAATTTTCATACTTTTACGGAAGCAAGGTTAGTTAGTATTATTGCTGAGGGAAGATGGTTTAGGTACTCGTGACTTCCTTATAGTTATATGGGAGGAAATGTTATGGAAATTCTGTAGCGTATCATGTATTTTACTAGCAATAGCAATAAAACATGATCTCTATACTAAGTCTAGGATGAACGAATATCTACCAAATGGCACGAAATTGATCCATTTGAATTACGAGGAAGTGGAAGTTGGCAAAACAGCAGTAAAAACGATAGAGATATGGAACGAATCCTGCGTAAGATTTGCTTTTTTGGCAAGTTTATGGGTTATTGCAGAAATAACCAACGCAATTGTTATATACAGAAGGAACAAATGTACCAGGTTCAAAGAGACCCCACCACGAATCCTCTGGATCACGTTTTCCATTTACGTTCTTATACTTGGATTTTGGCGCCCAAAGAAAAATATTTATGCGAAATACGTTACCGACCGTTCGTCGTATCTTCAAAAAATGTGGACTATTTGACCATTATCGACTCGATTGGGACGCGTTTAAAAATCGTTACCCGTGGATCTTGCATCGGTGCAAACGATAACGTCTTATAATAATATACATATAATAATTCAGATGAAAAACATAAAAGTCTTCTTTCTTACGTCATATTTTTCACGTACGTTGCGTTTCCATTTCCCATCACCGTACAGGTCCGGAAGTGACTTGCTCGACAACAAAAATCGTGATGATTTCCACAAACGACAACCCCGAACCAAAATGGCGAATTAAACTTAGAAACAATTCTAAAGTAGCAGCGATTTTTATGTTCGCCGTGGACGAAAAGTATCGGACGATTCAATTGGATATGAAACACGGTTGCATCGATCCTTGCTCGTACAAATATGTTACGATTACATTCACGCCATCGGAAGATGGAAGTCACGCTTATCGTTTGGCTCTTTTGATATTGCATCAAGTAAATAAATATATTAAATACTCGAAGCATCGCACTACATATGATAAATCAGTCTTTAAAAGAAAGATGTTGTAGGAACCAATCGTTATAGAATTATATGGGTACCGTAACTCGTCCAAGAATAAAGTGGACGCAAGTGACTTTACCTATTCGCGAACAGAGAAAAACGGGTTCGAAGGATATATGAGCGATAGCGTAAACGCTACAGGAGTCTTGCCTTTGATATCTCTTTCGAGGAATTATTTTAATTTCGGTCAGACGAACGTAGAAATGGAAGATGACGTTCAGAGAATCCCACATGCGATATGCCTCACCAATCACGGTCCATCCGATCTATGGATCGCGTGGGAAAAAGGTGATTCTGTCCGAAGTAACGAGTCATGTTTATATTTAAAATCTCTTGGAAAAAATACGTACATTTATCCGTTACGTTGCAGATGCAATATTCAACGTGACACCTTGCGAGATGCAAGTACGAGCAAATCGCTCGGCGCTTTTTGAACTTTCGTTCAACCCCAACGCGACGAACAACCTCTTTGGACGAGAGATCGTCGCCTCTGCTTTCTCAGAATTCAAGGGAAGATCGAGGTTTCCATTTGTTACGACGGTCAGAGCAATAGGTTCGGGGCTACGAATGAATAAAAACATGTCCGTGTTATTTTAAGAGGGTTTTAATGCTTGAACGAATAGGTCACTCGTTCCCTGTTGGGTCGAACGGATGGATTCCGCAATACAAAATACCTGAAACTGTAATAATGCCGCCGTGTGTCCCACCGTTTCCTGTTTACACGACGTTCATGATCAAAAAGTTCGGTCATTTACCCCTCATGTTTCATTTTGTCCCACCACCAGAGAGTCATTTCACCGTGAAGCCTATGCTTGGTGTAATCCACCGGTACGACTTTATTATTGTTATTATTATAAATGATACTCGAGCGGTACTTAAGTGGCGCTGCTCTTACAACAAACTTACACACGTACATGATTGCATTGTCTAACATAAGAATATGTGTATCGTAGAGACTACCAGATAATTGCTGTACAAATGTTACCAAAACCCGAAGACGAACAAATTTACATAGAACGATGGACAATATACTTTAACGGGGACACGAGAAACGAATCTTGTATAGATATGAAAGGATACGCAGAGTACGCGAATGTTCAGTTTTTCGGTAAGAACGAATTAAACTTCACACCGGCTATACCGCGTTGTCAGCAGTTCGAAATGCTTGGAATGCGAAATATTACTCGCCACACGTTAAAGTAAGTCGATAGGAATTTTTTATCCCAAGTAAAAGTGCGTTTGTACGAGTTGAGTCGATATTAAATTGACGAGAAATTTTTAATTAATTTGTAGGTACGCATTTTATCAAATGCCACCCGAACTCACAATGCAATATGAAAGTGGAAACCTTGATCCCAATGATACTCTGTTCCAAGAGTGTATTTTTCAACCAACCGAGCTGGACGTGGAGTACGATTTCGAAATAAAGTGCGTGTTAATCGTAATTAAAAATGGAATTGGTGTTGGGTCGAAGAGCTGTCTAACCGTGCGAGTTCGAGGAAATAGCAAAATGGGATCGTTACAGGTATACTAAAAAAAAGTGTGAAAGTCGTATCGTAAATATTCGTAATTTATTTTCAGGCGATTCCGAACGAATTAAACTTTCGAGAAGTGGAGTACAACGCTACCAGAACGCTGAGCTTCGGCCTTTTCAATCGCAGCCCTGTAAACATTTGCTATAAATTAATTTGTACCCATCGTAACTGGCCGCTGGGAGACATCGAAACGGACGTACAATTACGTCCAACTTCGGGAACAATTTTCTCAGGTTCTCACGAACAAATCGTAATCTCGATTACTCCACGTACGCCAGGCTATTACGAATTGGCTATTCAATACCTCGTAAGAGTTAACTCGAGATCAGATATCTTATTAACCGAACAAAACCCTACCAGAGTTTCTACCGCGATTTGCATGTGCATATTACCCGTTTTAAAGGTGAACGTATTCTTTTACGTAAACGTTCTATGATGTGAACGTTTGATTGCGTGCCTCTCCCCCCTTCCCTCCATAAGATAGCATAATTTTCATTTGGAACAGGTGGAGAATATGTGCGCGTTCGGATGCGAGCAAAAATATTCGTTGAACATAAGCAAACCGTTTCTATGGAAATCTATGCAAGTCGAGAAGTATGACCACTTCAAACTTTGTAGAATAATTAAATCCGGCAAATTCGACTCTATTAATTACTCCGTATTAGATTAAATGAAATTCTGAAGAGCATACTACCGGGAGAAAGGAAAACACTGCCCATCAAATTTTTCCCAATGGTCGTAAACGAAGGAGCATTTCATATTAAGTTGATAATGATGAATTCTTCGACGTTATCCGTTGCGTGGATTTTTAAGTGGGTTCAGCGATGCAGTTGTAAACCTGTCGCGAAGAAAATAGGTTTATCGTTTCAAAAGGAGAAACTTGATTGCGTTCATCAGACCCTTTGCAGCGTGTGTCCAGAGTCAGGCGTATTAAAGGTGCGAGTTTTTTTTGCTTTTAATAACAAAATTGGTGTAGTGTCTTTGCTCTATATCGATTCTTTTCAGCCAAACAAACGAACTATAATTACCATAACGGTACGTTACACGTCGATTGGAAAATCAGAGATATCTTGGGATCTGGATGTAGGACATGATCGTCACGTTACTTTAAATATGCTAATCGACTGCTTGTCCGAATCTGAACAGCAGCACGTCTTCCTAAACACCACGCACGTGAAGTTCGGACGAATTTATTTCGGGAACAAAGCAGCAATCCATAAAGTAACTTGAGTTCAATTCGTTTCTCTAACGTTAGAATGAAAGTAAGAACAAATTTCTAGACACTTTGGATACGCAACGTTACGAGTCACGATTTGCCATATTTCGTGAACATGGACAATATCTGCAAACTGAACGAGGATTATAATTGCCAAATATTTGCCTGTTCGCCTCAAAATGGTATCGCGGAGGCTTACACGAGTAAATGTCTTCTTCTAAAATTTCAACCCAGAATGTCTGGAGCGTACAAGGTATCGGAGAGTTTATCGCATTATACGATTTATTTCTAAATGATTCAAGCATACCATTTATTATAAGGTGGTGCTGCCAATAACATTGGGCAATAAAAATACCGAATTAATACTGGAGGGAGAATCATCCTACAACTTTAGATCGACGATCATTGGAAATACGATACCGAGTAATTGCGCTTGTAAAGGTGCAGTGTTCCCTCTGTACTTCAGCACGGATTGCATCGATATGTGGTCGATACCTACCCATAACTTTATCGTGAAAATGCTTTTAGTTTATAACAATCTACCACACGACGCGCTTGCTTATACGTGGAAGAGGTAAATCTTTGATTTTCGTACTAATTAAAAGTTGTTTAAATGTTCCAACGCTCTCAGCGAAACGGTGCCCGAAATACTTTCCGTCGAGGTATTTCCTCGCAAAGGTATAGTATGTCCAAAATCAGTGCAGAGTTTCAAGGTGAAAATTCACACCAACGGACACTCGTGCAGAGTCGATGTCAACGTAATTTGCGAGTTTTTTAACGCTGGTAAAAGGCGTGACTATCAAAGAAGCGTCATCAAGCACAATATTCTTAAAAAAGAACTGGAGGGACAGTTTATCATTACTGA